AATAGTTTCGGAAATAATTGTTTGCTTCCATACTTTTTCCCCACCCTGTATATATGACGATTAATATATGTATAGCAATTGAATGGGTATAAGCAGAATCGCGAGATCGATTTTGACGATATTGACATTTGACGGTCACGTGAAAGCTCGACTTGTATGTAACACCGCGCAATTATGCAATTATAAGTTTCGCATCGCCTGCATAGCTGGCGAACGAAGGCCGTTTCGCTTGGATTCGATTGATCGCCGACGGGCGTTACCTCGTCTCTGGAATAATTCATGTATCCCTAAGTGTGAGAGCACACCAACGACGCCAACATAGAAAATCACCAGCGTCGATCTGGCGCCTAGTCATCGAAGAGACGTCAGATCGATCTACTCCGCGATGCATACCAATCGATGCATCCGTTCACGTAGTAACTCGAACGCGCCGCCGGCCTTTGTCTACTCTGTATGCTCGCTCAATCTTGATCCCTTCCCGATTTGCATGTCAGGCGGATTAATTTCGAAGCGATACGCTAATTTGCTTGCATTGCGCTCATGTCGCACCGAGGAACGAGGAGTTCCAGTCTTCCATAGGTAATAATCGAAGCTGTCTATGTGCAGGTAATACTTAGAGATATAAGCGGATACTATCTTAAGACAGGGAGAGAGGAAACACGCAGTCATCACGCAAGATTTAATATAGTCAATAAAATTTATTAATATTCTCATGGAGTTCTCGGGAATTTTCAATTTTGCTATATATACATATACACAATATATAAGTGGAAATATTAAACAATCATATTTTTTATATCTTTGCAGTATTGATATTTTAGTGAACCTGTATAATCCGCTTGATTCAGGTATTACGTTCTATCCGTATTTTCAAGACGGCCGATATATGTAGACACATTTGCATGCCTATATTTGACTAGGATCATCTGTAGGTCTGTTTTTTTTTTATTTCTGTACTAGACTACACTAGAACTCTCTTTCTCGCTTTGGCCAAATATCAAACATAATATATATCTATCTCACTTTAAGTTCCAAAAGTGTACACTAGTTCAGCCACAGAAAACAGACCTTATATCGTAATATTATAAACGGACGCGCGTCTAAGATACAGGCTGTCTTTAAAGTATGTATAGGACATATTTGTATCACAGTAACATATCTAACACATGTTACGAAGTTTGTACTCCATCTGACACGTGATGCTAGCGTATAAAATGCGCTTATTACATTTACAAATACTTGCCTAGTTACCGTCATTCGGAACTATCGTTTTATGTACACCAAAGTATACATAGTAGTTATGTACATAGAGAAAATCATAGTGGAAACTATAAAGGCGGCAACACTATACAAATTTGATATATACAATAAATGTATATATGAATGAATATTTTATTTTTAATTGAGAAAGTTATGGTCCTTAGGAACTAGTCTATTCAGCCCATCTATAATTTCCTATTTGAATCTTAGACCTGATTGCATCAATGTTACTTTAATTTTAAGTGATTTAAAACTCTTTCCCTTTCTGTCTCCCTTTCTATCGGCTTTAAAAAAAGAAAGAAAGATTTTTAAGTCTTGCTCAAAGTCAATTCCCTTACGAAAAAATACACTGAACTAGGCGTTAGCGGTCCGAAATGATACTTAAATTGAATGTTAACTTCCAAATAAACCTCCATCTTGAGGATTAACATTTAATTTGAATGTTATTTCGGACCGCTAATGCCTAGTTCGGTGTATTTTTTCATAAAGGAAAGTAACGTTGGTGCAATCGGGCCTCAATCATTCTTTTTTTACGTCTAATGCATCGTCTACAATACACTGAGTGTATTATAAGAAGTAAGAGTAAGAAATTGACCAGTCACAGTCAATTATTCTTCTCACATTCGACTGTGATTGGTCAATTTCTTACTCTTACTACCAAGCTTACTTCGCATATTGTAGACGGTGCATTACACACATTCTACAGGAGTATAGATACTCTAGGACATCTCAGACACATCTTGTGAACTCAAAATCCTTTAAGCTCTTCGTACATTTCACAATAACCTTAATTATGGATCCATGGATCCGGGTTCGATCCCATTCGCGCCTCACACGCGCAAAAAATTCACTTAAAAAGGAGCTTATTGCTCCATCTGTGTGATAAGTTAGAAAGCTTAAAGACTATTGTGAAATGTACGATTGCTGCATGGTCCGAGGATCGAGTCACTCAGCGCCTCGAATAAATATATATTTTTAAATTGCGAAACTATAAAATAATTTATTCAGCTTCTCGCGTAATATTAATTCTACATATAAAACTTGTATATTTGTCACCTTTAAGTTACCACTACTACGTCTTTTCTTTTGAGTGTATGCAAAGTCTTTTGTCTACATGATTACGTGACATATCAAATTGTGATGCATGATTTACGAAAAGTTATGCAAAATAGCTGATGACGGATGATGCAATTATATTATTCTTTTTTTGTTCGTGTAACGAAAGATAGCTTCAATCACACTGTTAAATCTAATATAACTTAATAGCACTTCTAGAAGAAAATTAATTTAGCTTTTTTAGAAGAAGCTATAGAAATATTTCTTCATTATCAATGATGTATCGATTAAATTATGACGGTCTTTTCCTTGAAAAGTGATACACATTAAAAGGCGCGTTGCAGGCGAAAAAATCACGGATGAAACCCATGCACGACTCTGTTCGCGTAAAATTAATTGTAGTAGTACCTGTGAAGTTCACCATCGAACATAACTCTTGTACTCTTCGGTTATGCTCACTCTCTTGATAGTTTCGTAACCTAGAATTATCGAAAAACTAAAGCAGGCAGATTGGACGAGTCTCGCAGAGAGTCCTTTACTAAACATATGCAGTCCTTCCTCGATCCACAATATCCTAAACGCACTGAGCATACTGTCTAATCGTTGCACTTGCAATCTCGCTCTCACAATGTCCAAGGGATTCGTAATGATCGTGGTCGTAAAACCACCCAATGTGCCCGCAATCGCCTGTATACACAAGTGCGAGAACCAATTCGGAAGTAGCTTTATAAGCTCATCTACCAAAAAGGAGATACAAAAACATTACTCTTTTTTTATTTAATGACTACGAAGCAAGATTGATGATGATCAGAAAAATCATGGACTTTATTCAAAAAATTGTGTCAACCCTGTTACGAAGTACAAAGTACAATTACCTTGATAAACCGTATACAATCCCCACCAAAGGGCACTGTTAGGTACATACGCACACAAGGATGCCATGTACCCTCGATAGAAGCCACGATAACCATCTCTCTGATAAATCAATTTTATTATTTCCGCGGAGATTTGTGCGCGAGTCTTTCCAGATTCAAGGGTCAGGCCTAAGGGATTCATTCCCATCTATAAGAAACATTCGGCGTTAGTATCTCAAATGAATCATTGTTGAAGGTGCAGTAAATTTAGTAGAAATTTCCTGACTCACTTTATCTACGTACACCCTGCCGTGCTTGGTGCTATTTATGCCGAGAACCATTAGATGCTGACTGAGAACATCGAAAGGAACGACTATCGTTTGCCCAACTAAACTGGCAGCACCACCAGCAATCAACGCTTTCACCTTGGAGTCAACGCGTCCAAGGGGTGTATCTTGTCCAAGCAAATGACGTACTCCTTCATAGGTTGATACATAAAATACACCAGAGACAATTTGAATGGAGCTTATCCAGAAGCCTCGATAAAGGCCTGAGAAGCCTTCCACTTTATAAATTTTTCTATACGCATCTATCATACCTACGGAATAAAAGATATTGCATGAGAATTCGAAGGAAGATTATTTACTTTGTAAAGATGATTTATATAGAAATTAATTTGCTTAATTTGCGATCAATGTAAGATATTATTATTTCAGCTTCAATTGTACAAAGCGTTTCTTATCCAGTTAACACCACTAACAGTAATATAAAATCAATGTTATAATTTCACTCTCGACAAGTAACTATTATGTATGTGCAATATGTATATTATATTATATTTATATTTTTAAAGCCCAGTTCCACAACTCACGGTTAACTTTTAACCGAGATTCAACTTGTTTCTCATCTCTTTCTAATTCTAGAATTGGAAAGAGACAATGAATAAGTTGAATGTCGGTTAAGAGTTAACCGTGATTTGTGGAACTGGGCCTTAGTGTGAAATCCGAGGGGGTAACCACTAGCTGAAATATTGTTCCACAGATTACATGATTTCATCTGAGATTACAAATGATTTTTTTCACTACTATGAAGTAATTTGGTAAAATATACGATTTTATTTAATATTATACAATGATTTCTCGTGATTGCATATGTAATTATCGGATTATACATAGAGATTTTATATAAATTTTATAATGATTTCGAGGATTCTATCTCACGATTACATTAAGTGGTTACCCCCTCGGTGAAATCATAATATTGATGTTATGTGATGTTAGATGATGTTTTTATTGGGTTACTTATAATATTTGTATTATTCACATTTCAGTCTAGTTTAATTTAAAAAAAAAAACAGAAAGAGAAAGGGCTACGAGCCTAAGAATAATCATTAAAAATTGTAAACGTTAATAAATAAACGTGCCATTTATTAAAATACATGAAACTTTAATTTACTAGCAATAAACAACAAAACGAAAACAAACGTTTCGATCCTTGTTGGATCATTATCAATGTTAAAATAACAGTGAAATTATTACAAATAGAACATACATAAAAATTAAAATTCGCTTTCAATCGCAGTATTAAAATTATCAATAATCTCGTTCAGTATGCAATAATTGCAGTATTAAAGTTATCAAATCTCGCTCGACATAATTGTAATAAGAATGATGACACACATCCATAAGGTATTTATTTTCTATCAATTTAGCTGCTACTAAATTAAATATATATATATTTTATGTTTATACATCGTATTATACAACTTCAATTCTTATTAATGGTTTTTATTGTATATTTTTTATTATATATTACTTTTTTATTTCTATTCTTTGTTTCTTAGTTTGTATTTTGATTGCTATTACTGATTGCTTATTTATATTACAATTTTGCATTATATTTGTACTTTTTAACAGAAACAATTACATTGTCTATACTCTATATACATAATTAGAGGAATATATTATTTCCGATAACATCATTCTTATTACAATTACTACATGCTGAGCGAGATTATTTGATAACATTAATACTGTGATTACTGCATACTGAGCGAGATTATTGATAATTTTAATACTGCGATTGAGAGCGAATTTGAATTTTTATATATGTTCTATTTGTAATAATTTCACTGTTATTTTAACATTGATAATGATCCAATAAGGATCGAAACGTTTGTTTTCGTTTTGTTGTTTATTGCCGGCAAATTAAAGTTTTATATATTTTAACTAAATGACAAGTTTATTTATTAACGTTTTCAATTTTTAATTTTTAACGATTATTCTTAGACTCGTAGCTCTTTCTCTTTCTTTTTTTTTAATTTATTGAGTCTTATTATTATTATAATCTAGTTTAATTTATTATTATTTAATTTGTGTGTTACCATTGTACATGTGATTTTGTCTTTGCACTTGGAGGCGAGTCTTGATCACTGTCAGGGGATACAAGCAACACCTGACCGAGAACGAGGACAGCATGCTGAGCGGGAAGAATTTCGTCTTGTCCATCATGTCCCACTCGATAGTGCGGATGAACGGTGTTGCCTCTACTGCAGACATCTCTCGAATATGGACAAATATTGTAGCTCGTAGCGATAGATGGATCAAACAGAGAGACTCGCCGAAGATTTGGCCTAACTTGATGCCGCATATCTCATCGGTGTGTTATGAGCATTAACGTCCAAAATCCTGTAAGTTCACAAATTTGTAATTACTAATAATTTGGGCAAAGTCAGAATTGAGAGTATAATTAATGTGACCAGACATTCTATTTTTGGAGTGATGTTTCGCTGTCAAAACATGTCAAAATATGAGAGAGAATAATTGTATTGTTTTTTAAAATTATTATTATTGTATTTATCATTCTCATGCATTTTCATTATATTTTCCTCCATATTCTCTCCTGTTTTTTGTAGTTGAACTAGTGTACATTTCTTGCACTAAAAGGCCTGTTTTTTTTAGAACTCTTTGAATTGATGCACACGATACAATAAATTAAAGTGAAACTTACATTTGTTTCATTTCACTTCAACTTACTGCACTATTATATGCATCAGTTCAAAAAGTTCATCAATAAAGAACCTAAAATTAAATAGGTATATGTTTGAAATTTGACGAAAGTGAGAAGAATAAAGTTCTTATGCAGTCGAGTACACAGTAAAAAAGCCTATGAAATATCAGAAAAAATCAGAAAGTTTTGACTTGTTAGAGTGTCTTTGAGGTTAGGTTAACTTCAAAAGACTTCTTGAGTCATGTATTCACATAATTTGTATAATATATGTATACTGCATAAATGAATTTTAACGCTGTAGATGAAAGATTTCTGCCATTATTTCGAAATACGTCTTCAACGGGTTGTGCTATGTCATTATAATTGCGAAATATCAAAAGCATCATTTCGGAGTCGATCAATTCGACAATGAAAATGACAATTTTTGCAAGGAATTTAATTGAATTTAATGAATTGTGCCGTAAAACAATGAGATTAACAGTAGAAGAAATTCAGCAACATTCAAGGCATGATAATTAAGAATAAAATATAATATTTTACAACACTGGAACAATCCGTTACTCCGAAATTCTCTTCGTTGCTCCAAAGTCCAAAACATGAGTATATCTGTATTACTTTCCTATCACAGTTATGAGCTGGTTATGAGAAATTTGTTAAGCAATCTTTTTGAATTCTTGTCAATAGCGGTGGATGTAAAAATGTTCATGTCTAACAAATTGGAACAATTAGAGATAAGTAAATTAGTTATTACTGTCGATTTTAATTAACATATTATTATAACATAATTTAAAAGTATTAACATTATTATTGATAAAGCAATTACACAGGAAAGTGTAAGTCATTCGCAAAAATCGTTACTTACAATGATGTAATGTGTTACCCGAAGATAATTTACTCCAAAGTCTTCTCAATGTTTGCCTCTGTACTGTCGAGAGGAAAATTTAGATGTTTACAAAATAATCGACATAGTCAGTTGTTTTATTACGCACGCGTTTAGTGTATTCCTTAAAGCAAATTCATTTTCATTCACAATATTTCGCGACTACGAAATTATTCGAGTTAGCAAATCTATGAAAAATGACGGTCCATCCACTCGGCAAGGTTGTTTTGTTGCGCACGCGCTCGGTACTCTTCTGTATTTCTTCTTGGTAGTGACATCTCAACGAAAATCCTGGATGTTACGTGATGTTACTTATCTATAGATGTACAAAGCGGTAGCACCTATTATCATCAATAAACATCTTAATTACTAATTCATTACACGACGAACATGAAAACATTTTTTTCCTCAACGAAATCTCGAGGCAACAATAACTTCTCTGCGAACAATAATAAAACTAATAGTCCCCTTTGAGTAAAAAATTTAATAGTAATATGATAAAAAAGTTTCACACAGCACAGATCATTCCAGAAATATTGTAGTAACATTGCAAATATTGCAGCAATGTTACTGCAAGTTTCTATACTGAATGGAATAGTTTAATTTTTATTTAATTTGATTTTCTATTTAATTTTGAAATTATATTTATTTAATTGAGATAAACTCAAATTTTGTCATCTTAGAAATACATCGATGAATAAATATTATATTGTTTATATATCTTGCTTTTAGTTACAGTTTTGCAACTTATCGAATGAATTAAAATGAAACAAAAAAAGTTATTTTTATATATTATAATTACACACGTACACATTTTTTCCATACAGCACAAGAAGCTTGCAGAAACATTGCAATATTGCTGAAATATTCCAATATTGCTGCAATATTGCTGGAACAATCTGTGTTATATGGGTTAATTAGTTGGCACAAAATCTATCGTGACACAGGTTCAATAATTTTTGCTAAGAATCGCTTTAAATCCTCAAAGATTTTTTTAAATCGTAATGTATACAATTTAGAAAGAAAGTTAACGTTTTTTATCACCCATGCAGTACTTTATTCGAGAGACATCCTGCGAACGTTCTGAGGATGTCTCTCGAATATATTCATAGGATATAGAGACGTCTTCAGGATGTATTTAGGGCATTCTTAGCAGTCCGTGCTGTATGAGCATTAAGCAGCTAGCTTATTCCATCCGAGTTGCTTGAACGCTCACGTTGGCCTAGGCTGATTTGAAGTTATATTAAAAACGTATCTCTATTCGCGCGCGCGAATATCTCGATGGCGATCGAATCGAATTTGTTCGAAGCTCGAGCTGAGAGAGCCCGTGGTCCTCTCTCGCGTGGAGGTTTGTAGCATCATCCCTTCGTTGATCATCAAGCTGGTATGTCGCCAATGAGTTTCAGGCTCCGCCCAGCGCCCGGTTAGGTAGTGGTCGGCAAGGAGGCGAAATACGCGCAGGACTGAGTTCTACGTCACATCGGGGGCGTACACCGGAGCTCGGAGACAACCCCCGGCCGCGAGGGTGGCTCACCCCTCTGTTCGCGCCGAGATCAAATCACCCAATTCAGTGCTATCTTCGATCTTCGCGTTGTAACACCGGGCGACGATTGAACTCGCGTCGCGCAAATTCGATTGCGCGTTTTTTTTGCAATTTCGAATTGGTGATCCTGTTTGTCTATAGTGAGGAATTTTCGACTCGATAACGATTGATCGGAAGACGAAACAACGAATTGCGAAGTTATGATGAATCTTGCCGATCAGGAGGTGCCTGCCGCGACGACAGAATTGGCGGGCTTAGTAAGTAACTGAAAATTTATTTGTTATTTGAAAGATAGAATTGAATTTCTAAAGATTTTGTGATCTTTGTTAATTGAAAACAAAAAAGTTTTTTTAAATTAATGATTAGTATCTCGTAGGAAATCTAGTAAATTTGTAATATTTGATTGATTTGTATTAGATTTATAAGAATCTTGTTAATAATATATAAATTGACGTGTTTATGTTTTTTATCGTGTTTATGTAATTTATAAAGAAATAATAAATTTTTATTTAAGAATTAATATCTTCTCGAAAAGTCAAATAAATTTGTAACGTTTGATTGATTCATATTGAATTCTTATTAATAACATGTACTTAACGTGTTTATTATATATTAATTGATAAATTAGATTTATTAATTGATAAAAAAGATTTATTATGTGAAAATTAACATTTCGAAAAAGTCAGTGAATTTGTAATATTTGATTGCTTTGTATTAATCTATAAAAGTCTCGTAAATAATATACGCAATTAATTTATCACAATTTTTATTAATTGATTTATTAATTGATAAAATTGATATTTTTAAATTTAAGGATTAGCATCTCAGAAAATCAGATGAATTTAATATTTGATTGATAATCTTGTTGTGCGCGAAGAGATAAATAAGTTGATAACTTAAATATGTAGATGATATTGGGTTCGCAAATAAGTTCGTTTGGTTTTGTTAGCTGAAAATTGTAAATACAATATTTTCGTTAAAATTGAACGAAATTTAAATTAAAAAAAGTTTTTAATGTTTAAACTTCTACTTTAAAAGGTTGCTATATTTTTTGAGTATATGTGAATTTGGTAATTTTTACATATAAAAAACTACGAGCTGAAAAAAAAATAAAAAATTTTTTTCTCACTTTGAGGACTTGTTACGTGCCCAAAAAAATTTGCAAACACTTTTACGATCTGACGTGAAAGCTTGAAGTTTTTCCTCAAAATTCATCTTTAAAAAATATTCCTATGATTTTTGTTACTGAGTTACTCGCGGATTAAATAAAAAAGCATTCTGACTTTGATTGCTTATAAATTCGGTAAAGATCATCGTATCGCAATTAAAAAAACAGATTCTTAAACTTTGCTCTAGATGATATAGTTGCCAACTTTAAAAAAAAAAACAGAATAAAATTTGTTTCATTCCACTCTAAAAAACCGAACAAACTTATTTGCCAATCCAATTGTTTACATTAAAAATCATTCTTTTTATGAATCAAACAGAAATATCGCATTTAAAAATAAAAGACTTATCTTCATCATATTATATACACATATTTTTTTTTATTTTAATTCAGATTGGTAATAGAAAAATTACAACACCCTATCTGAGAAAAAAAAAAGTGTAAATGATAATCTTTATTCGTCAATTTATTTCTAGGCGATAAAATTTATTTTTTATTAGAACATAACATTAATTGCAGTTACCTCACTAGATAAAATAGAATATATTCAAAAATTAAAAGAAATTATTTCATGTTTAACTACAGAAATAAAACGAAAAGATATACAGAGAGGCTAAATCATAATTGATTATATTTATCGGAGTTACAAGTAAATTCGACTGCTTTTCTCCACTGCACTTTTCTTTGGTGTTTCTACTTAAATTCGTGAAACGACATAGCGTTACGTTAATAGCGTCCAAGAAGGTGCAGCATCAAAACGTTGCCGGTCACGAAGGTGTTTAAGACCCATTAAACACCGCCGCATTAAGAGCCGCTCCGTTTGATACGGATATCCGACTTCCTCGGGGCCGACACAATAGAGTTCTCGGCGAGTGGCACGAGGTCCAGGGTCATCGCGCGTACAATGCGGCCACTCGAGAGATGATCGCTCGGTCGGGTGGCGAATTGCCGCGGCACGCGCCTCCACGCTCCGATGGCTCGTCCCACGGGTGCCACCCCTTTTGTGTCCTCTAAACACGTAATTGTCGCCGTTACTCCTCGCGTGCGTACGTGCGTGCGTGCCACCACCGTGACGACACGATGCGCGCGGGACCCGCGGGTGGTCAATGGATATAGGGACACGGGAGAGGGGATGACTTGGCGAGTATTTGATTTATGTTTGTTGACTCTAAAAATCGGCCGATTCCCACACACGCGGTTCCTGCCTCATCGTCGGGTCGACGCGACGCCGAGCGCCGTTTAATTGACTGCCGCAAGAGATAGCATATGTCACCACTCGAGTTTCCCATGATTAGGGGTGGCCTCCTCGGGAACGGGGCGTGTGCGAAATTACCCGTGCTGGCTTGTTTATTTGCTGATTGTTTAACTGTTCACTTCATTCTTCTCGATGAGTTTGGTATTAACTCGCCGAAGTTGACGTCAAAGTCTGTAACACGATTACTGATCTGCGAGATAATTCATTTAATTTATGTTAATTAAAAGACACTAATTAATCCTCCGCACATCACATGAGAATTTGAAAACTTATAAGACTATTTTTCGACTTTGAATTATTTTGCCGATTTCGACTCAAATTTGAACAAAAAAATGGAAACTGTTTCGGGTTATATAATTGTAAATAATATTCTTAAAAAGATTGAAAAAGTATACCAGAATTTTTTTTAATTTTTCAAACCTCAAAAATCTTTTGAAAAACACAATCAATGACCCTCAATGACCTGGATGATCTGACTAATTATAAGTGGTGAAATGTAGAGTAGTTTGCGGGGGGTTAATTTCAAGAATGACGTAACTTGTATAAGAAAAAAATAATACTAAGTATATTTTAATATTTTAATAAGAATAATCTAAATTTGCAAATGTAACGTAAAGATAATTGAATTGTTTCGACATTTTTGACAAAAATGTTTATAACTGAGTGGGTCCAATAAACCCACCATCAACTCTGGAGGGTTAAACTTATACAATTACCGTGTACTTTCTCGCATGATCATCTTGATGCTATTAGTCTTATAATAAGATAAATGATATATTACATGTAATATTTTTATATGTTACATTTTCCGAGTGTTACTTTCATAGTTAAATCGACACTTGAGATTGATGCAAAAAGACATAACTTATATAAAAATTCCTTCCAGCGCGATCTTTGCAACGCGTTGTGGTACGCAATTAGCTGATAAACTTGGATACAGTGCGACGAGTTCTTTAATCTCGAAATCTCTTCCACACTGTCCCTCTCGCCAGGCATTGTTCGCCTTTCAGTGTTCACCACTGTCATTATCTTCGCGATTCGTAAGGGTAGAAAGACGGCAGGGAAACTTTCTTGGCGAAGTAACCCGAGTTCTCGCCTGTGATTGATAAAATTGACCATCCTTGCCATTATCGACACGTAATTAGCAGAAGGAACTGTGGCCGCCTTTTATCTGCTCGCTGACCGAATTGGAGCACACATGAAATGCGGATTGTTAAAAATGTTTCCATTTTGTGAGTCCACTTTA